CGTTCCTCCCAAAAGATCTTAATTTGACGGTATAAAATCATAAGCACTGGAACATTTCTAACTTCAAGACAATGAAGATGATTTGAAAAATTGTTCCTAGCCCAAAAACGTTCCGTAACTGCTTCAAACCTCTTTGACCCTAAGTCTGAATTCCAAATATATAAGCAGTCGTCTCTGTGCTTAATCAAGCTTTACGCCATGAAGACATGAATATTTGGAACGGTGGAGGGAAGGTTCAAGTGTCCCATGTGCCAGGACACTGTGCGATCCCCAAAGGAGAGGCCTTAACGCGGTTGATCAAACACAAACGGTCGCTTCAAGTCACTTCATGTTGCAGATTTCTTTGTAAATTTCCATGTACTCAGAACCTGACACTGTGGTACGCCTGCAAGACTTAGCTCAAGTTACCAGCTTTGCAAGAACGCCGGAGAAGTAGTCTAATGATCACGGCGATCTTACGCCGTGAACAGTTAAATTGGGGTTGACTGTTGTCACGTCACGGACGGAGGAACAAACCAATAACTGTGCCTAAAATGACTGTCACAACACAGCTGGAACTGGTCGCAGCAGTGGAGTATCAACTTTATTGGAAAAATGAGAAGAAGAAGAAGAAGAAATATGTTTCCGTAAGAAGTGGACCAAGAAAATGAATCACCTAGATGAATCTAGTATCGCTACAATTATGAAATGTTAGTCTCAGAAGAAAGAGAAACTCATAAAAATCTCCTGAGTGTGTCAAAGAACACGAGTTTTGGCTTATACAACCATTAATCCTGAGCCACACTTCATCGACTTAATGATTTCGTTCAATTCCGGGCTGTACACTCTTTTAACGATCTTAATTTTTATATAACACAATGTGCTGTTAACCCCTCAATGTTGATTTCCTCAAGTAATTTTATGAATACCTTATCTCTCGCATTTATGTTGCAAAATTCCATAACATTTCACTTTCTACACTTTTAAAATGTGCAAATGTCACAGCTACATGTCAGCCATTTTGTGAAAATTATCTACAACAAATTTTGTTGACAAAACAAACTTTTACCTTTCAATCTGCTTCTCAATATTACCAACGAAAAAATGACAGATGTTTTCATACGTTCCAATAACCTTGAGAATCCAAGTAGTAGTTTACATTTTCCAGGTTTTTATTCAAATCAGTTAAAGTCAAGTAAGAAGCTGAACTGGTTTCGAATTCCAACAGCCCTCCGAGCAGATTTGAAATGTACGTATTATACTTGTAACACATTTCACATGAACCAAGTCGTTTCAAGTTTACTTCAGCGATTTGCATTCAAACGTATCGATTACTGCGAAAGCGGCTTTACCATTGCTTAAATCGAACCTATCCACGGGTTTGTGCAGAACGAGTTTCGGTGACCACCCCTCGAACGATGATGGGAAAAGGCGAAGAAACCCGAGCGAACCGGGAAGTAACCGAACGGAGCAGCTGTCAACGCACGCTTTGAAGTCAGTGAAATGGGTCTAGTGTAAATGAGAATCTGCGACGTTTGTGTCCTGGCGAACACAGCTCGACCACCGACTTCAGTTTCGTCTGACGCACCGCACATAAACTCATGTCGCTGCGAAGACATTTGGAAATATAAAATAAGCGTTTCGAAACCTGGATTATGCTTCCGTCTTCAGGTAAAAAAGGAGATAAGATGACTTAGAATACAGGTCAAATTAACCAGAGGGCCCAACGCATAGACTTTCCGTCAACTTACTGTCTTTACCTGAAGAAGGTAGCAGAACCCAGCTTCCGAAACGTTGTAGTTTTTATTATTTCATATTTTTTACGAAGGACAAAGTCAAAAAAATTACGTATCACAATGCACTATCAACAGAAACATTCAAACTTCAATAACGTTTGTTTCGAACCCGATTTTACCCGTATACATTCAGTTCTTCGTGGACAGTATCAGAATTATTTATTCCATCTGAAACTGCAATGTATGAAACAACGATTTGGTCAATCCTGACTCGTGACAACCTATCGCGTTATTTGAAGCTGTAGGTTGTTTAAAAAAAGCTTAGATGAGAATTGAAAGGTTCGAAAATAAAAGTTATAATTAAAATGCTTGCTGGAAATAAATGTGGCGTGGAATGTTCGTTATTGTACTCCCTTGTGCTATTAGTATTTAAAAGCCTGTGTTAACTGAAACGTGACTGTTTACGCAACTGCCTCCATTATCATTACTGTCCGCAGAACGTTGTCATAAATGTCGGTGTTCAATGGGAATATGATTCACTGACATCAGCGCTACTATTCAAAATACTTGAATGCTGACGGGAACATGGCTAAAATAAATATACCAAGCACATTCAGAGTCATCTTATAAACATACCTAATATATATTTCCAGAATGCCATTCGTGGCGTTTATTTGTCGGTGCTGGAAAGCAGACCAAGTCGAGGAGAATCCAAACACCCACAAGTCTTCAACGGAATGTGAACGCAAAACAGAGCGTGCAATGTCAGATGTACCAGAGCCAGGGTCGGAAACCTGTTCTCGCGACTGGTAGCAGATCCTTTCTGTCTGTCTTTGGTTTGTTCAGCTGCATAGGTCGAAAGCGAGCAGCCGGTGAGTTGGTGGGACTGAAGTACGGTCTACTTATGGGTATTACTGCGTAGCGGTTTTAACCCTTTGCGGTCTCTGTCGGACTGAGGGGTTAATGTTTCTGATGTTTGCGTTTGACGAATTCGGCCGATCCGTTGTTGCCTACTAAATCTGATGTTTCAATTACAAACATGGCTCCCAGATGGCAAAACAAGGCTGTATCAGATAGTTTATACTTTAGTTCATGTTTTCATCTACAGATCGATCTTTTAGGTCAAAAAAAAATTCTGTTTGAACAAATGAAATTCGTTGAGCTCAAAAGTGGAATTCGTGGCGTGCTTACAATTATTGCTTGTGGATTTCGCTGTATTTTTTTTTTTTGCTTTGTATACTGCTTATGGTATCTTTTCGTTATTTTCCTTAGTTTATTGTATATATGTTCAGTTTTTTTAGATTTCTCACTTCGGCAATGGCTGGTCCAAGTTCAAGAATGGATGACGCCGATATTTTGGATTATTTGGATACTATACATAGTGATAGTGACATTATTCCGGAAAGTGTGTCTGATTGCACTGAAAGTGATGATGAAACGCGACCTTATGTGAAAAATGGAGTTGGAGAAACCAAATGTACACAAACATGACAGTTAATAATTTATAAACACGAAAATATTGGTGTTTATTGGGATGATGTCGGCGTAACTGGCTAAAGTTGTCAGGGTGATCGAATACATGTAAACACTGCGAGAAGTACAGTCAAAATACGTCCGTCGTGGCGTGACGCGGCACGATATCTGCATAGCTGCTGAAGCAAGAGGGGAGGATGCGGGCTGTTGTGTATTTCTCCTTGCATCTGCGCATGAGCAACCGAAAAAAAAAGAGCGACAAACCTACGCCGCGACGCAAATTATTCCGCGAAAAAGGGGGGTGGGAGGGTTTCTGTTAAAAATTCAACATATTTAAAGAAATTCAGAGAAATAATATTGTATATCGCTCTGCAACAGGAAACAATTTGGGCTTGAATTTTGTGCTTCAATGCAACGAATACGAAGAAAATCAAGACTGCAAAAGTTTACTGACGTTTCAGTGGTGCTTTTTGCCTCTATCATCTGAGCGATTAATGAAATCCACCTCCAGTCCTATACCTTTTGTTCCTTGTTGCCAATTTTTGCCATGTAACAAAAGAACGTGGCAATGTACACAACTTGGTATGAAAGGTCGTATTTAAATTTTACAAAAAGTAAATTACGAAGGTATTTGGATCTGAGGTAAACAGGGTTAAAATAAAGAGAACGAGGGGCTATGTATGCTAGGGTAGCTGACTGTGGAGTTTAAAAAATGCTTAACATATTCGTCGGAGAGGTGTGAACTGAACTGAGTATAATCGAAACGTGGTGACTGACGGCATAAACCTTCAGGTAATTCTAAAACAATTGATAATATGCCTACCGATTGCTCGTATTTTGTTTCTTTTTTAATTCGGAGCTCATTTGTGCCGCCGTAGTGTGTGAATAATACGTTTCAAAAGCCTGGCGATTTTTTTCAGGGCCCAGGACGGAGGAGATCATTCGTTCTTTGAGGGCGGGGAGAGTCGCCGGCTGACACACCGGGAGATGCAGATACTGCTGCGTCGAGAAGGCGGTGATGAGGGGCGCCCCGTGGACTGTTGCCCTTCTGTGGAGGAAATGGTAGAACCGGAGGGCGGTCGAAACAAAGACGACATGTACGTGGTGCTCTTCCGGAACGGCGACATACGTCAGAGATTCTACGAATACTCGTGTAAAGAGAATGTTGTAGGCAGGCCGTGCCGGTTTTTGGAAAGGCGATTACACAATCAGTCACGGTGTGTTCAGAAATTCTCGTACACGTACGCTATTGTAAGAAATCCCGCAGTATCCGCGTCGTCTGCAGAGTCGGGCTCTGGCGAGCCGCAGAGACACCATCACCACAGGGCTCATCACCTGACAGCCCTCCCACTCACCACGTCTACACCAAACTCCTTTGGTGGCTCGGAGTGGATGCTCGATTACATCCGCGTACGCAGCGGATGCGGGTGTGAAGTGATGCCCAAACCCAAGAAGCGTTCAGCTGCCAACAAGGGCAAGAAAAGTAAAAGCAAAAAATCTTTTAGTGAAGACGATTTACAGACCTAAAAACGTATAAATGTTCATCGTAGTGGTTATTAATGTAATTATAACTATGTTGTTATATTGATATTCGGTCGTTTCACCGCCTCATCTCCCTTCAGAATGTATTACGCTTATAAAACAGATGAAGAAGGCACGGGAAAAATAGTTACATTAAACATTATTTTTCATAATGCATAACACAAGGCAAAATGTTGAGCATCAGACACTAGAGGTTATGTAATAGGCCTATAGATTACTATAACCTCTAAACAAAGAAGTGACTGGGTTTTTGACTCTAGGAGAATGCAGAAAAGTATTGGACAAATTTTTCAATCAGCAGGTTATAAATACTAAATGACTTCATAGACATGAATCACAGAAACTGAACACATCAATATCCATCATTCAGTATATAAAGTTTTTTTTCATTTACAGAACCCCTTTGCAAATCTGGCAAATTTTGAGGCCCGCATTTGACCTGTAAGCCAAGACCCAAAAAGCAAACAGAGTATGGGTGAGCCTGTACAAAATGATCTTTATCTACCACAATTTATATTTTATATATTTTTATTGTCACTTCACATATCTCCAAAATAAACAATATTAGACAAAACTTATAAACCTGCAGACACAATGTATGTTGTTGTATATGGTGCGGCAGTTCACTTATCTTTACATTAGTTCGTGCCCTCGCCAATACCATCTTCATATTTCTCTGTTGCTTTTTAAATGGTGCTCGTTTAGAGTCTTCATTCTAAAAACTGCTATGTTATGTAATTTTAACTACAAATTTTTCACGTGTGTTCTTCAGTTATGATTTATTCTTTTTATCTCATAATTAAGTCAACATTTTATTACGTATATGGTTGTTACTAAATTAATATACACTTTACCAATTATTCATTTGCTCATTAAGTCATCAAACATTCTGTTACAAATTATTTTATTATCAAGACTTGGAAGTTTTAACTTCAGTATATAAGGCATGTACGCATGTGTGGTTTAAATTCAGATGCATTTTTGTCTGTCTGAATGCATAATTGTATCCTACAATTTAGAGAATTGTGTTTTAGGACTACATGGTATGGCTGGAAGACCGAGTGAAATGAAGTTGAAATAAGATAGAATGAGATTATATGTGTGCCATAGGAACATGGAATATGTCTATCCTTTTTGTTGTAAGGAAGCACATTCTTGGTTTGTTCCAGTGGTAGCGAGTAAGAATTTCTTCTTTCCACCCTGCAGTTACTTATTACTCACTTAATTTGTTAATTGCTGCTATCACCACTGCAGAAAGCTCAAGGCCACGACAAACCAGGTAACATAACGGCCAGTTTTCTCAGGTGCTTTCATTTTTTTAATTATTACTATTATTATCATCTGAATAATTTAATTAACAGTCATTCCTTAGGTGTTTGTCACATCTTTGCACATTTCGTAATGTATTCTTTCTTGTAAAACATAAATTGTTTCTGTACTGTAAAAGAATTTTGGGTGGAAAAGAGACCAGTCTAACCTTATAATAAATTGTGGCAATCTGTACTTACAACCTTACTAAAATTTACACGGAGGGATTTAAATGTACATCAAACATGAGATATGATCTAACAGCAAGGAGCAACTGTATGCAACACTATGAGACGTATTTAAAAGATTAAGGGGTGTTTGTGGGAAAAAAAGACAAAAATGAATTATCTGGTTATCTGATACAGAATACCTTTGGAGAGTTTTATGTCGAAAAATTTACTCTTATTTCTTTTTTTCCCTGTAAAATGAAAATTGATAATTCTGTCATAACTGTGACTGAAGCTAGAGAAACCTTAAATTTTTTCTATCCTGCAAATTGATTGTCCACGTTCTTCTCAAAACCACGATTTAAATTGTAACATCTCAAAAGTACAGTAATGGGGATTGGCAGCAAAAGTATCTAACAATAAATCAGGAATAAAGCACTACTTTTGTCCTATATATTTTCCTATTCAGCGTCGGTCCGTGTAGGGCACATAAAATTTTAAAACTACAAAGTTTACAATGAGAAACTTTACAAATATGTACAGGAACATACCAAAACCAGCAGAGAAGTTTAAGTTGCAATGAAAAACAAATTCCAACATATACTTTTCACACATGTTTTAGCACTGTGTAATATGACACATTGGAGATTTATGAGAAAGTGTATTCTCACTCATCAAATCTATTAATACATTTAGCAAGGGGCAAAAGAGAAAATTATAGTGTGGGTCGTCTCAAGCTAGCACAAAAATAACCAAATGAAGCAAGTAACAATGAACAATAGGAGTAAAACAATCCTGGAATGCGGGTGGCTTTGTGTGGGACTCACACCATAATCTGCAAGGTTAATAATCATTGAAACAAGCAAAACCAATTTTAGTGTCATACAGACTGTCCCATGCTGAATACTGAAACGGAGGTTTCCTGCTACAGCCATCACACAAATCACATTCCTTCCATAACAAAATTAATGAAAGACCTGTCTCCAATTTGAAGAAAAAGTCTAGGTTTCATAGTACTTTTGCATTGAGGTGTTTGGTCTATTAAACTACAATTTGGAACACTCCAGAATTTTGACGGGATTCTTAATCAAACAAGACACAGCCGCCCCCTACGTATCACGTCCCATTAAAATGTTGCAGAACGCTCAGTATGCACACTTGTTTCAGTATTACAAAATGTGCGAGTACTATATAACATGGCTTCTTTGTTACTATGTTCACATGTATCTCTATGTACAACCATTATTAAATCATCAATTCAGAGTAAGAATATATTAACCCTTAGAAGCCACAGCACATCTAAATAATATTTAAACATTCTGTCTGTACTGCAAAGAAAACAAAATGTCTCCATTACAAAGATCAACTCGTTAATGCTGTATAAGGAAATAATCAGTGTTTACTGAGGAACTTACATAAAACAAATGAATAAACACTGGGCCAAATGATTACTAAAACTGGCGATAAATATAGTTACCAGTGGGTTTTAAAGGGTTAATCACTTTTGCACACTTCCAGCACTGAGATAAAAATGTTATATTACTTGTATTTTCTTCTGGATTATCCTAACCATGGATCCTAAAAGACCTTGCCTTCAAAACCAAATTTTAAGAACAGTCAAAATATATGGGTTCTGGTAAGATTTCAGATCTTCATAGCAGTCAATATGAAGATTAATGTGTTTAGGGTTATTGCGCTATGTATTCTTGTATAAACTTACTGATATTTCGGATATGCATACTGCCTCCAACATCAGGGCGATGCAATCATTGCCCTGGTGATGGAGGCAATAAGCATATCTGAAACGGTCAGTTCCTACAAGAATACACAGCGCAATATCCCAGAAGACAGACATGGGGTTTCTCATTTTGAAGCTTCTTAACACGATGCACTGGTGGATCAAACTTTTTGTAAGGGTGATGTACACTGTCTTTGTATGTTTCTGAAAGCGGCATTTTTGTTCTGTCTGTAATTTAAAGAGTTGCTGGATACAAATACATAATCAGAGAAAATGGTGTGAACTAACAGAATCTCCTTGCATTATAGCTGTCTCTGCTTGGTATTATATCTCGAAATAATATTTTTAGTACAGTATTATGGTAAAATATGTATATTATTTACTGGGAAAAGCTATACATAGTTGTTATGATGTACCAATGAAACTACATGGTGTCACCCCTTTGAAGTACACAATGTAAATTACAACACAATGTTGCCATTTCCAGTGTATTATAGTTTCAGGTATCTCCATAAATATATTATAGTTACAAAATACAGACAATTTCTGTGTAAAGTGACAGGCCCATAGCATTGTATAATACTATAACTGAAAATAAAATGTACTGAGATGTGTTCGATGTAAATAAAATGTTGGGCCTACCTTGAGAATAATGTATCATTTTTGTACTTCAGTTTCCAGTAATTCTTTAACTTAGAATGTATTTATTTTACAGCATTAGGGGAGAGTTGTCAGAGGCTGAAGTGCCTTTGCACTTATTTCTTGAAATAATTATGGTAATATTACCACCAATCTTCCGTAGATCTCTTGCTAAATGAAAGAGATGTGTTTCTTGATGTATTCCAAACTTTCTAGGACAATTATAACCTTATTGAAAGAGTAAATCAATTCCACAGAGTTTTGAATCTTCTGAAACAACCCAGAGTACATGGACGAACATAATTACGTACCTTAAGAGAACTATGCAAAGGATACGGATGTTTAGCTTCTTTGATTGAAAACTATTGTACTTTTAAGATTCTGCTTTCTTTTTACCCCGGGCAGCTCTTCCTTCGTCAGAGATTATACATTGCTCAAAAACCAAGAACAACGTTGACATTATCATCACTGCTACAAAAATCTCATCTGAACTGAAACTGTTCAGTTACAAAGGGTGAGTGTGATGTCATTAATGAGTGTTGGAATTTTCTGAAGAGCAGAGTAACTGTTACCTGTTCAGAGAAGACACCGTATCAGATTTAGTTAACACGGGGTGGGCGATTACCCAGGCCTCGCACCTGTATAAGAATTCCCTCTTCTCATATTGTTGTCATAGTTTGCTTCATACGTGTACGTTTATCTGATTGGCCGCAATGAAGAAGAAACGGAGAAAGTTCTGAATAAAGCCTGTGAAGAGTAAACAGTTTTTTAAATGGTTTCCATAAGAAGCTATTGTTGATGGTAGATTGATGGCTTATTGTTCAGTCATATAGTCACTCCTTCTCTTAATGTTTGTGAATAATTGGCAATGCCAGTGTTAGGATTTACGGTTGAGAAAAGGAAGACGCATGAACCCAGTGAGTCAGTTGTAGACATGGTTTTAAAATCATTAAAATTATAAGAACCAATCAGTTAAAATTCCTTATATGTATTTTTTCTAAAAGGACCTCACTAATCAATGATTGGCTCAGCTGCTAGTGCTTTTATGTTGAATGTGCTTACATGGTAGAAGTTTAATATAGTCAGATTTGAGGAAAATATATGACCATCCGTAATAAAGCAACACAATTATGATTCACTATCAACTAAATTTACTAAATTTCACTGTTTTATAACATTCTTTATACAGTTAAGTACCTCCTTCATCCAAATTATGAAAACAATTTGCATTTATGCACATTTGACATTTAAAGGCACCTAATATGAAATGTATATTGAAAAATTGAATTACGATTGAACACAATGGTAAAATAAGTAGTAGATCTTCACTTTTATGTAATAGACTATTACATGTATCAAGCTAAACACTGTCTGGCAATGTAAGAAGCAAACTGACAAAACTGTACAAAAGAGCTTGCCACACCAAGTATTATCACTTTATATATTTTATACAGACAAAGAAACTTCCTACACTGTTATAAATAGTCACTATTTATGTATATCTTTAAAGAAAGGAAAACAAATATATAATACTTTATCACTTGGCATATACTCCTTCAAGTAATTACAGTTTTATTTAAAATACACAAAGGACCGAAGAAAAAAATTAAGTTAATAATATTGGCAGTGAAGTATATGCTTTCCATAGAAGCAGGGACATTGGACTGCTTCTGGACACAGCACGTGGTGCATATATTTTGTCTTAAATTTAATTACCATTACTCTGCACAAACATCACCCTGGACGATATTGGATGAAAGCTGGAAATTAAAATGGCAAACTTGTTAGTGGAAATGACAAATATCAGAAAAGCACATAAATTGAATTCTTCACAAATCTGAAAACAGTAGTCAAACACAGGACTTCCAATATTTACAAAGAACAGACTACTTCAATAAATGTGAAAGATTTATACAGCGAATGACAACAACATTGTTATTCATGTTCTATTTTTAAATGTATTTTGTATTTATTTTTGTGAGTAATACAAAAATATTGCATGCCATATGAATTCTGCTATGGGTCTTTAGTTTTGAATCATGATTTAGTAAACCAGAACAAACACCATTATTTTCATAATTCAAACTACTCTCTTGAGCCTTCCTTTAAACTGTTAATGTTCTCTAATTTTAACCAAAAATGTAACATGTTAAGAAATTCTTAAAGCTTCCCAATATCAGATAAATATAAATAAATAAATATAATTCTGTTAATACCAGATGGGTTGTAACTGAAATATACAGACTGTTTATAAATTAACTCAATAAATTCAAATCTGGCATAACTATTTTTGTTCCTTTGATGAAAATTTTAGGCATCTTGTTACTATTATAAAATATCTGCAAGACAGAAAGAGACAACATCTGCACTGACTAGACAAAATGAAAATGGAGTGGGTTATTCTTACCCAAAATGCATGCTGTGTGGTGAGTTTCAGGTAACTACTGCGTGACAACAAGTCTCAGT